CACTTTTAATTTGATCAAACCATTAGTAACTACACCTTCAAACACCGATTTCAAATCCAGTGCTAATGAACTGCTCTCAAGAATTTTTTCGAAATGTTTATTATTGATAGTAGATGAGTCTAGGTCACATTCACTACAAGTAAAAATAAATATAATTTTAAAAATAAACAAATGTTTTCAATAATTCTTAAGTGATTAATTCTTAAGTTTACAAACAATATTAATTAGTGGGTATCTAACTATTATTTACTTAAGAAAATATCAATGCCTAGAATCAATAGATATTTTAATAACAGTCTTATTTAGTAGTACATACAATACTAAATAGCAGTTGATCATCTAGCTGCTCAACCTAACCTACTTTAAATTTTATCAAAGTTAATGTAAATCATTTAAATATATTTTTATAGAAGACTATTACATTGATATATTGTTATTGAAATAAGATTTTACTTAAAATAAAAAAATTATTCAATTATGAAACATTTTATTACTTTGCCATAGTATCATGTATGTAAAGCATATCTCTTATTTGTGAGGATAGGTACCCACAACGCTTTTCTTCATGTCGCAGAGCAACACCCAATATCTTACTCAGGTCATAGTAGCAATTAGATATCTGACGACGGGCAAATGCGTCTAACGCAAAAACAATATTGATCATTATGATTGAAGGACTCTGCGGTTTTTTGTTGCCACCTTCGCCATTGCCTTCATTACCCTCGATACCGCCCGTCTGCAGTTGCATTGGATGACCGACAAATCGGACGTTATTCACTTTCAGCTCAAACTTGCGGTCACACAACTCCATCTTGACGGCGAACAAACTAGATATGACGTCGTCCGTAAAGATTGTGAGATCGTGCGGTCGCACAGTCTTTTCCAGTCCCGCGTCTTTGTGTAAAGACCGCTTGTGATCGTTTAGACTCACCTTGACAGGTCCTCCGAAACTATGGAATGGGTAACGAAACAACAATTTGTCGCCTTTACTATCGTTCTTCACCAGATAAATACACATCGGATTTGTTTCCGAGTCGGTCAAACGGAATGGCGCCTCCGACGTTGAATGTGCCGGTCCCGGGTTCGCAGTCATCGTGATTTTAAATATTTTCGTACGTGCAATGAAATAAAATGTTTGAGTTGTTCTCAGTAATTGGATTAACATTAGCCAGGACACATTCCGGAATACGTATTATTTAATATTATTTTATTAATTCCTAATAATCGTGAATAATACCATTACTTATATTTATTAGTTATTCTTATTTCCGTTGAACGTCAATCAGATAACGGATTTCGATAATTCCGTGAACATGTCTTATCATGACATTTGAAAATAAAAACGTGATAAAATACACAACAGTTTTGTTGTTTAGATACAGCATCTTTTCGTATTATTTATATCTTGCGATGGTGGTGTAATGGTCAGCATAGTTGCCTTCCAAGCAGTTGATCCGGGTTCGATTCCCGGCCATCGCAGTCATTTTTTTACATTTTTTTCCCAATTCTCTTTAATTTTTATATTGTGAACTTTTTACACTAAAAAAAATATTTAATACCTTATGTTGTAATTATGTAAATTAATATTAAAAATATTTCGTGTTGAAACCTTAAAATATAATATTTATTATAAATTCATAACATTCATAACCAACTTCAATTTTATTAAAATTGTATGAGTGATTTACTGATGTGTATATGTAGTAAAGCTAAATATAAAATATGCAGATACATGCTTGAGAGGATGCTACACAGACATTTGTTATTTCCGTCTTATAAGTACGTAACATGGCAAATTTACGTTCAGCAGATTAAATTTAGCTTTGTTAGTTTAAAAATTAGAATGAATCGACCTATAATGAAACTGATGGTACGAACATTATCTGTGTCTGTATGTGGGTTTTTTACAATAGTTCAATTTTTTTAGCAAGTATTTCGTTTGTGAAATATAGTAAATTAAAAATGCTGATAACTCATTTAAAAACACATTACCCTCCTTCTTCCGCAGTCGGGTAAAAAATAGAATTATCGTAAAAACCCACGTACAAACACAGAAAATGTTCTTACACCATCATGTTTCATTAGGTCGATTCACTCTAATTTTTAAACTAACGAAACTACTAATTTCGCTTTCAATGACATGTTTATGATTAATTTTGCGTTTTAAAGCATAATATTTTCTTTAAAATAACGTTTATCAAAATAATCATAAGATAATTTACAATTTAATTATTTGAAAGCCTCCGCACATGTAGTTGTGAATTTAGAATCTGAGTGACCAACTTCACTAATATATTGCTCGTGTCTTAATGTCGTTCTTTTTTTAAATGCTATTCATTTTTAATATTTTCTAATTCAAAAAGGAATTAAATAATGGTACAATAAGTGTACATATTCATATAATATTTTAGAGTTTTTAAACACTTAAGTGTTAACCAATTATTCATTTTTAATGTTGTATGATATGGTGTTTTCTGCCATGGTTATAATATTAATCTTAAATCATGCTTTGAGATTCTAAATGTTTATTTTTATTTCGAATTATACTATTTTAATACCCAATCTTGTCATAGTAAATAACGTTAGCATAAACTAGTTATGTAAGTCATTGCTCATTGTTATATATATAATATATATATAGTATACTTCATAAAAACATAACGATTATGCAATTCTGGAATACAGTAATAAAGAATAAATTTCAATAGATAAAAGAACTGCCAATGTTAAATGAAACATTGCAGAAATGCAGATTGTAGGTAGGTAATTGTTAGAATATCTAACATGAAATTTATTTTAATACAATAATAATATAATCTGGAGAAACTAGCTATTGCCTATTAGAATACATAAACATGCTGTACTGGAGAAATAAATTAGTATTTCAATTTAAAATCAATAGTTTTAACTATTTTGATATTAACATTAATGATGCAAATCACAAATACCCATGCTTTTATTAAAAAATGCTTTAAAATTTAATAAATTTAAAAATAGATGGTTTATACTTTTCAGTAGTTTAAGATGCTTCTGTATAAATTTAGTTTTGATGTATGTCAGATACACAAATCACAAAATGTAGTGCTATACAGCTATACAGTTCCGAATCTTGAACTCTGGAGACTTACATAGTTACATGAAAAAGAAAATTTTAAAGACTTTAAAATAAGGGTATAAAAGTACACATTATCTAGACATCCACTGTGGTACCTATCATGTGTATGTTGTTTACGATATTTTGATATCCTTTGATTTGGAACCCCTTTTGAGCTTTTCTTTAGTATTAATATATTGAATAAATAAGTTAGTATAAACTAATAAAAGAAGTAATAAATACTATAAAACGAAAATTACAATCATTGTTTTTCTTTTTAATATATAGATTTCACACATCCTGGAGTATAGTGATCAACTATTATATACAGTATACACTATTAAGGCGCCCATCACCAATTATTAATATTTGACAAGAGTAAAACTAAAATTGTAATTATAACAATAAAATATTAATGATACTAGTGATACTACAATTAATTTGTTACGTTAGATCAATTTTTCATGTATAACAATTATGTTAGTATATAAGTATATATTATATGATTGTTTTTTCTGTGTATACGCATGTCATGTTTATATGATATTTGAGGAACTATTAAAAATTAATTGATGTGAATAAAATTATTTTTTGAATGTAAAATAATAACTTGTATTTTTTATTAAATTTAAATCATATTATAATTATTTACCCTAAATATGCTAAATATTCAAAATCACAGAACAAGACGTCTAACCTGAAGTGTCTAATAAATAAAAAAATGTATAATATTACAAATTATTGTTTAATTTAAAAATATATATATTTATAATTGTACTCATTATCCAAGAACATTTTTAAGAAAAATATTAATTTTTAATTTTTAATACTTTATTTTTAAATAAAATTATCATTTAACTTATTTTAAGAATACCATCATAATTTAGCCATAATGGTTAAAACAATGCATACAATCACAGAGTAATTGAGTAATAACTAATAACATATTCTGCAAGTTTTATGTAGAATTTATAAATGTAAATACAAACATATAATCAATTATTATATGCATTCATTAAAATTATGACATGTATCAAAGTTAAATATTTGAAGTCTTTTAAAGTTTAAAATATTGTTTACTTGTTATTTTTGAAAAATACTTTGTGTAGCAGTATAAATTTATACTATGATAAATTTTAAGTTTATTCTTAAAATATAAAGAATTTGAGGAGGGGTATTTTGATTTTAAAAATTTTCCAAAATACATAAAAAAAAAAACAGTGAACAAATAATAAAATGGAATCTATTATAACAATTTCTTAAATATCTACATTGAACTAACTTTTGCTCAAAAACAATTTTTCAGTAGATTATATACTTAAATACACCAGCCAATTTCTGTAGTCTATTTTTTTATTTGCTTCAACATTATGATAATATCAATAAGTAATCAAGTAAAATTTTAACTTGAAAATATTGTTGATTATTTTTTTATGTTTTTCTAGCGTACTTTAATATTTAATTACGTGATGAGAAAAATTAATGTACTTTATGCACTTTTAGAATAATTTATACTAAAATACTTAATATTATTTTTTATTAAATGAAAAAACAGTTAAATTTGTTTAGCAAAGAATATTATATATTCTTATTTAGTTACAAAAGATCATTTTCACCAAATTACAATCATTAATTGTTTATATAATTGATAGGTAATTTGTTTAGGATACACAAAAATGTATGATTATAAATGATGAAAAAATGTAATTCATTTAAATATATTCAGTTAAAAATATTAGTATTTACAAAAACAGTCACATTACAAACAATAAAAATATTGTACTACACTGTATTAACATATGTTAATCGATTAACAATTTAAGAAAATAATTTTTCACCGATTTTTTTATATATAAATATATATATATATATATATATATACACACATAAATATATATATATATATATATATATATTTGTTTTTAACATTATTACAATTAAATTAAAATTGGGGGAGGGGAGGAATTAAATTTTGGAAAACAGCTATGTCTGTTTATCACTGTATAACTTATGGTAGAGTATAAATGATTCTACCATGGAGTAAAGATACCTTATATCAATCACTATCAGATGCGACTGCATTTATTTTTCTCCGTTTTTTTGTCTGTCTTGGTTTTATAACTTCTTCCTCCTAAAATATAAAAACCACAAAATTATTTGAATGAACAAGCATGTTTTATAAAAATTGTTAACTCACTTCACTAGACTCTTCGGAGCTCTCCGACAGGTCTTTTATCACAGACTTAGCATTTTTTTTGTTACTATTACCAAATGTTGGAGCTGCTTTACGACCACGTTTACCACTTGTTGAATTTTTATTGGTTGTTGGTGTATGTGGTTCATCCTCTTCAAGCAACTGAAAAAGGTTGCTAAACAACATGCGCTGTGTATCTGTGCATGCAGCTTGTGCAATTTGCAAAGCTTTTTGCATTCCTTCAGCGCGAAACAGTACAGGACAAGTACCCCGACTGCGAATGCGTTCCATGTGACCAAGTATTCGCTCAGCACTGGGTGGTGCTACACCACCTCTAGAACCTAAACCCTGTCCTGAAATATATTTAATTACATAATCAAAAAAGGTAGATAAGTAGGTACCATACTGCTATACATTAGGCAGTAGGTGGTTCACTATTTAAAATCTTTTAAATTTGAATTCAATAATATTATTGTAAACAAAAAATAATTCTGAGCAGAAATGGTCAATCAGCCAATATCACTAAGTAACGTTTTTATGTTTTAATACTATAGTATTATAAATAGTAGATAGATACAATTTTTTCCAAAAATATTATTTGTATTTAATTATTATAATATATATTTATAATTATAACAAATAATATTAACTTTTAATAACATATTTCTTTAAATACTGTAAAACAGTAAAAACAATAAAAACAGATCAAAAATGTTATTACTTAGTAAAATTCATAAAAAATTGAATTACCACAAATTATGTTTTTAAATTATAACAAAATAATTAACATATATCGTTGATTATTGTTTAAATAAGTAATTAAATAAAATTGGAACTAAAAATATCTATAAAAAATAATTGCCTTTAAACATTTTTCAGATTTTATAGTTCCATTATGAATAAACTACTTAAGAGGAATCTTGTATTAAATTTTGAAAAACAATTTTTGAAATAAATTAAATTTTTTTATGAATTTTAAATTTAAACCCTTATAAAAAAATTAAAATATTGTGACTAGAGATTTTTGATATTTTTTGATTAAGAAATTAACAATTTATGAAGAGTTTTGTATTAATTTTTCAAGTATTTCTACTTAGTAAATAATTTTTAATAAAATTTGGAATTTAAAAATTTGAAATTTTTATGTCTATATAAATAGCTCAAAAATAGTCAAAATATTTTGGATTTTTTACTGGTAACTAAAACAATAATTTAAACATTTAGTGAAAATTTCAAGTATTTACAGTTTTCCGTTTTTGAATTGAGTAAAAAAACAGAATCAAAATTGGATTAACATAAAAATTCCCATTTTTCTATAATTTTTTGTGTGTTTTAATCAATAATAAAAATAAGTACTACATATTTTTAAGTTTAACCTAGTAAGTCAATCTAGTTCCAATATGATCTTTAAAATCATAAAACCACTTCCATTATTTAAAATTGAAGCATTTCCTGCTTATACATAATAAAACATATGATAAAATCAATACATTAATTGCTCTGCTCAGAATCTAAAAACATATATCAATCATTTATGTATGAAAAAATCAATTACCTTGTCCACGTTTTCGTTTAGTTGGAGATACAACTGGACATCTACTAATTAATAGTTGAGAAACTAGATTAGCTACATTTTCTCCATGTTCCAAATACCAACTGGATATCACAGATATAACAAATTGATCATTTAAAGGTTTTATTTCTCTACATAGTATGGGTTTCAATAAATCTAAAGTAGGCCTAGAATAATTGAATTGGATGTTATTAATAATTTAATTTTGATGTCATGCATTTAAAATAAGATTAACTTACTTTTCTTTTTTTAGCGTGAGCAAAATGCTAGTCAGGGTTTCAGGGTGATTATTATAGTCTAATTTTGTAATATTTGATAATATCACTTTTATATCAATGGCATGTGCAGACACTAATTGCCAAAAAAAATATTGTTCCATTGTTTCCCAATCTAATGAACTAGTTGCTAATGACGGTACTGCATCAGATCGGAACATGTTTAATTTACCTATTAAATAATTGCAATAATTATTAATTAAACCAAAATGCATTAATCAAGTTTTTAAAGATAAATAAAAATACCTTGCAAAATTAGACAAATTATTTCTTGTATTTGTGAGCCATCAGTAGAAGACACAACTAAGTGTAAGAAATCTTCATTTCCAACAACAATCTTGGAAAACTGATTATATACAGCTGGGATTAGCCAACAAAACATTGAAGTATCATCTTCTTGGCACAGCTGAAGATCACTCAATAAACATTCATTTAATTCAACTTCTTGGGTTTCACAAAATTCTTTGTATACATGAGATTTGATACTACTAAAAAAAAAAAATACATTAAAATTAAGATAATTGTTGCATTAAAATTAATGTTCAAATTATAGCTTACTTATTCATTTTCCTATCAGCGTTGTTGTTTATTAAGCTGCTCACTTGCAAATAATAAAGCAATAAATATCCAATTCTAGTTTGGTGTGTTCTCATTTCAGCTAGCAATGATAAAAGTTGTAACCTACGAGAGTCGTCTTCAGTAAATTGTGTTAGACTACGAAACATTACAAATATTGGTTTTCCAATACTGTCTTCCAATGCACTATGAAATTCAATAGAAAATTAGAAATAATTAGTATGTATCAAATATATCAAATAATAATCAATGATTATTGGTGCTTTGTTTCCCAGAGTATCCTTTCTTAAAGTATAGATATAAATACCTTGAAACACATATATAAATTTATAGTTTAAATAAAAACAAATCATAAATTACCTAGTCTAAATTAAATATTAATTTAAAGAGATATTATAATTTATATAAAGTAACTTATTTCAAAAACAAGATTAATACCATAAGTATCAATCTACTCAATTGAGTTCAAATTTATACTATACATATTGTAATATTAAATAAACTTAATGAATACTAAATAGTAATATTTAATAACTTACTTGTCATTAAGTACAGATGGGAAGATCTTTTCTTCAATTTGATTTTTCAATAAACATGAAATACAAGAACCTAATGCTGCTATCATTTCAGGATATATATCATCATCCTGTACAATTAACTGAACAATTTTTTCCATAGCTTCACATTTTCTTTCATTATCCTTTTCAAAATATAAAGTTTCAGTCTCCAGTCTCAATTCTTTGGTTAAAGTTTGCAAAGCTTCTTTATCCAAATCAGGTGGAAGAATATTTTTTTCTTTTAGTTTAACTTTCACTGAAATACAAATAATTTAACTAATGTAGCATAAGAATGAATACATTTTCTGAACAAAACGAGAAGGATCTTGGGAACAAAGGTGTACCATCCACATAGTGGAACTCTATCAGTTTTTAACTAAACTGATCGCCGCTCAGGATCTTTATTACAGTGAACAGAATATATATTACATATTATTAAAGTTACCCAAATTATATTATTAATAATTCAGATAACCTTATATACTTTAATTTTTTAACATACATGGGGTAGTTTTAATAGCAGGTATACTGTTATTTTCAAGAATAATATTTTTCTTAGGACTTGTGTCAGATTCTTCGTCACTAAATGAGATATCATCATTTTCTGCTATTAATTCATCTTTAAGTGTAGAAAGTAAATTATCCATTATGTCATCATTTTTAACAGGATCACCTGAAATAAAAATTGGCTGAATTAATTTAGTTATATATTTAATATACAGTACAATTTTTTTTAACAGTGTTCTCATAATAATGAGAATAAACTTTTTAGAAAATTTAAGATACATGAAGTTATAACATTCAGAACTCATTAGTAATTTAAGCGTTTTATTAACAAGAAATATACAGTGAACACCACTTATAACAATCATGAATAAAAGGTTCATAAGATTCAATCGCTAAATAGACTAAATTTATCTGGAACGGTCAGGACATATCCGAATACATTACAAAAAATTTGGTTATAAAACTCAAATTTCGTAAAAATAAATGGTAAAAATTAAACACTTTTAGTTAAGATTTAGAAACAAATTTATTTTTAAAAATTATGAAAGAAATATTAAAAATTTTCAGGAATTCCATTTCTAGAATATTAGAACATAATTTATAATTTATTATTAATATGTAATAATTTTTATAATAATAAAATTTTAATTTTTTTATTTATTCACTAATTATAATAATGTAAATATGATTATAATAGAAGCAAAATAATAAAATAAAATTCATGAATATTTTTTTGTCCCCCCTCCCCCCCAATTAACCCCCAAGATTCAATTGATTATAAAACTCACTTTATGCTGGTCCCCAAGTGAGTCTTATAAACAGTATTCACTACATATGTTTTACCATTGATTTTTTTTTTTAAACTCATTATAATGTTTAATATTTGCATCATCATTTCTTTAAATCAATTTACTTCAGATTGTGTGTAAAAAAAAAACAATGTAACATGTAAAAATTTCATGTCTTAATTCATCAAAAAAGTACATATTTTTAATAGTAATGAATATCTTAAGTTAAAAGATTTGCTTAGAACAATTCTTACTTGTTAAATTATCATAAATAAAAAGAAATATATTACCCTGAACAGCAGGTGGATCACAAAATTCTCGGAAAGTATTTTGTATCATAGCTCTAAGTTCACCATCTAATCGAGGATTTGTAAACAAAGGAACTAATGATGCTAACACCCTTTTATCAAGAATTTGCCGCAATGAAACAAAAATACCATTGCGTATTCGCTCTGATTGAGCTGGATAAAAATTAGGAATAATCTGAAATTAAAAAAAATTAAAAAAAAATTAATAATAGTAAATATTTTTTATTTTATAGAATGAAATTTATTTAAGTTACTAATTTATTACCGTCTACCGCTAGAAATTAACTTTAAAGAATAAACTAATACTAAAAAATAAGATGTATAGGATATTTTAAAACTATGACACAAAATAAAATTAATATTTATAGGTTTTATTAAAAAATTATTACTTTAAAAAAATAATAAAACATGTAAGCATTGAACACAATCTCAACTTTCTTTTCCATTTTTTTATAAATACAATTTGTTCAAAAACTACAGAATTTTCCAAATAGCCACGCTATCTCCATCTATTAATTACATACATTTTATTCTTTATCAATTTTTTTTTTTTTTTATTACTTAAAAGCTAAAAGTTATAATAAATGTTATTTGTGTTTCCTATTTCTAGACCTACCCTAACCTAATAATCTCCAATACACACTTTGAATTAATTGATAAAACTAACATATAGCAGAAAAATTGTAATACGTTAGCATATTATTGAATATTAGTAATACTAAATCTGTAGACCTATTAAAAACTTAAATTTTAAAATGTATAATTACTCGGCATAAAAAGTCCAGCAAACTAGCAGTTACTGTTGGATGAATACGTAAAGAGTTAAGCATAACTAAAATTGCTGGTTCTGTAAAAAAAAAAAAAAAATGATATATATATACACATACTTTTTTTATTTTTTTTAATATAAATATTTTGTTTTGTTTCATATATATATAATATAGGAGGGTAAAGTATATTTTAAAGTTTTAAAATAGCTACTAATAACTTACCAATATTCATAATATTGTCGTGTTTTGGATCATAACAAATCCAGTCATAAAATAGAGCCAATTTGGCATTAGCTAAAGCTATATTTGATGTACACGTGGTAATAAGCCAACCAATAACAGCCCAACGAGGTATAATGTCTGAACACAACAATTCATTTGTAGGATGTATTAATCCAACAATAAATCGGATTAAATCACTTCTTAGAGATTGTGCTTCTGGTGTGTTCAAGTACTAGAAATTAAAACAATATTATTTTGGAGAAAATAAAACAAAAAAATTATTTTTACTTTGTTTTGGAACCATTCCTGATATCTTTTATGATGACCAAATCGAACCGAAGAAGTAAAGAACACCAATTTACGTTCCATATCCGGTGTTAGTCGTGATTGTAAAAATCTTCGAGATGTTCGGGTTTCCAATATTTGTATAATACCTTAACATTAAATAAATAAATACAATTTTTTTGATAATAGATTAATTTTTAATCATAAATATAACTACCATTTGTTAAAGTCGGACTTAATGATTGAGGATTATGAAGTAAATCTTTCCACAATGCTTCAAATTCTGGTATACGTGAAACATTTTGTAGTAATCTAACTAAATCTCGACCAATAACCAAACAATCTGTGAAACGATCACGTAGTAAAGATATAGTAAATGCCACTTCTCGATTGCGTAGAGGAATTAAACTACTGTGATCTTCAATAAAACGTAAAAAAGAATACACAACGGATGCTATCAACCAAGGAAATCTCTCTAACCATTTTCTAAAAAACAAAAAATATTATATGAAGAGTTGAAGAGTAATAAAAATATAAATTTCAATAAAAATATAATACCTATGGTCTTGATAAAGATCAAGGAAATACTCAATGAGTGCAATGTTAGTTGTAGAAATATCACCACCTGCTGCATTTCGCATCAGGTTCCAACAAAGATTATCTACACCAGCAATGTTGTTGCGTACCATTTCGCGAACTAACCACAAAAGTTGTTTGCGAGGAGCATCTAAAAGTCGACTCCATTTTTCTAAAGTAAATTGTTGTAAATGAGATATAACACTTTGTAGACCATCACGCGATAACAAAGTTAAATCTCTATATATCTGTTGAAAGAATAAATGTAGAAATAAGATTATTTTAACAAAAAAATATGAATTATAAATAGATTGATACATTTTATTATTAATAAAGTTATCAACAAATAGTATGCTTAAAAATGTACATATGTTTGTGTAGTACTTAAGACAAGCTAGCTAGACGGGTTTCTATTCAATTGTTTAAAAAAATATAGTATATTCATGCAAAAGCAGTAACTAGTATCAATGCTGACAATATAACTACCAATAAGCTCTAATATCATATCCATGGACTATATATTATAAATATTAAGGGTCCCCTTCATCATGGATTTTTAACTTAACACACCAAAATTAAGAACCAGTAGTTATGTAATTTAATTCAAGAAAAACAAAAAAAAATAAATACAAGTTAAAATATTTCTTTTTGGGAGAAAAAAATAATAATAGTCACAAACAAAAGAGAATTAATATTTAACAAATTTCTTGTACATGATTTAGTTTTCAACGACAAAAATTTTAAATTTGTATTATTACTATGCAATAGATAGAAGATAGGTATAAATCATGTATAATGATTGAGGCGCATATACCATGAAAAATAATACTTATACAATACGCCACGAAAAAAAAAAAAACGTAATTGAGAACCCCATGATCCCATATGGAATAAGTACACACTAAACAGACATTTTCAACAACAAGTGGCACACCCACACATACTTTGTCAGCGTTTTTCGTATCCAAAAGAATAGCAGTCAACAGCCCCAAACTGATGACTTCCTCTTGGCTCTTGTCCTTGCTGATGTGGCTAGTGAGCGCATCATGGTACTCGCGGTCATTGAAGCCAGTCGTTAGACTCTGGAGAGTCTGATAACACCGTTCGTATTTCTAAGGGATAAAACAAAATAAAGACCCGACATCGATGGATACTACGACGACGGTCAACGCACAAGGCTCGCGCACACAACGTACAATAATATACGACGACGACGTGCGGGTCGTGCACACACACACGGCACGGCATTGTTATAGTATCGTTTCGTACAAGAGTGCGAGCGAGGTACGGCGCGACAGAGCGGTTGATCGTCGACGACTGCGCTTACCTCTTCGATCTCGTCCTTGCGCTCGATCATCGAGTACGTGAACAACTTCAGCTGCTGCTGCTGCTGCTGCTGTTGCTGCTGCTGTGCGGTCATGGTTCCACGGCAATACGGCTACCACCATCAAACAACAATATAGCGTAACGCCACCGCCGCCACCAACATAATATCACCAAAACGTCCGCACACGACGGCTAGCCGCCCGTCGCTGTTGCTCACGTATCGTCGACACGCACGTGTACCAGAATATTGGTGGCCAGACCCATGATCCGGCGGCGGCGGAGGAGGTCGGTGGTCCCTTCAGACCACGAGATTGTGCGCCGTCCGCGATGATAATAATATTACAGTTACTACCTACGTGTTCGACGGCGCGCGCACGCAACTCGCGTCCAGGCGACTGGTCCGGCTGACGACAGTGACGAGCGACGAGTGACGGCTATGGGTCGACCGAGCAGAAGTTATGCGAACGCGTGCGTGACACGATCGAGCCAAGGACGTCGTCTCGAGATTTGATCGTTGTCGTCGCGCGCGAACAATGCAACGGTCGATCGGTGACGGTGGTTCTGCTACTGCTGCTGCTGAGTGCTGTTGCTGTTGTTGTGTATAGTGTATTGTGGCAGTGGCCGGCGAGTCGCTTAGGGACTCGGGATGACGTTCACTAAAACGTTTTTCGTGTATTTATTTATTCGGTAATTTTTTTTTCCCCCGTCGACAATTCGAAACGCGATAACGTCGCGCGCGCACCGGATCGGACCCTTACGCGCCTATGTGCGTGCGAGCGTGTACACTGTACACGATAATGAAAATAATAATAATAATAATAATAATAGTAATAATAATAATAATAATAAATAATAATAATAATAGTAATAATGATATAACGTCTCAGCGGACGAGTCGGTCGGCGGACGACAACCAGTGAGACGGCGACGGAACGGTCTAGTGTTCGGAAATTAGTGGGAGAGTGGCGCGAGGAGAGAGGATTTTTGGCGTCCCACAAAATGTGTTGTGCGCGCCTATACCAATACAATATTACGATGGTGCCCGATGTCGGGCCACGCCGCGTGTGGGATATCCGTGTGCGTAGTGTGTACTGTGTGTGTTTGTTAACGTGATAATAAAAAAAATAAATAAATAAATAAAAAAAAAAAAAACGAAATTTCGAAAGAAAGAGAAACACAAACACACCGCGACGAACCGACGACGGCGATAGATAAAGAATGAGCGAGCGAGGACCGAGGGGGAGTGTGCGTGCGTGCGTTTGCGTGTGATAGCGCACTGGGCCAGTGTGAGAGAGCGTGCGCGCGCACGCGTTCGGTAACGACAACGACAGCGTTGGTGCGGTCCGGCTTCACCGTAGATACGCGCGCGCGGCCAACTCGCGCACCGTCTCGATAGCGATTAGCGACTGCTGCTGAGCGTCAACCGACGCACCGGGCTCGCTCCGGCACTGCCGCGGCCAAGTGACGGACGGACGGTGTACACTACACCGTCACTGTGTAGTGTTGCGGCCATGTCGTGACGCGGCCGTCGTGTTTTTCTCTTTGCTTCCTGCCCTCGATAAATGTTAAATTTTGTTTTCGTACGAACGCCGCCGAAACGTTCCGTTTTTACGGTTCCTCTGCCGCGTCATCTCCCGCCCAGGTCTCGTGATAAAACGCACCGATTCCGTTTATGACACAAAACCGCGTGCTACTACGACATCAATGAATTATTCGTCCGCCGATAAGTCACGACGTTACCGTCCTGCCCAAAAACAATAACGCGATGACAATATATTATATAATATTATAATAAACAGTCCGTGCCGCCCGTTAATTAATCAATATTTAATGATAAACCGCAATCATCGATGCGTATTGGCGTCAGTGGCGTATTTAGGTTTTTGGCCAGGGGGGGGGGGGGGGTATGACTTTATACGGCAATTACCAACTCCACCCTAAATTTCCAAAAATTATAATATCTTTTTACAATAAATTAATAGTTATTAAATATACATCTTATGTCTAAATATGTTGCCAAAATTATAATATATAACACGTTACTCGTGATTAAATGTTTTATTGATACAAAATCGAATGTTTAAATATATTATATGAATAATATGATGACTATAATTATTTGTGTGTATACAGCCCATGGGGGGGGATTTATCCCCTTGATCCCCCTCCCCCGTAAATACGCCAGTGTTTGGCGTATTGCGCACGCCGTATTGCCTGCTGTCCTGCTAATCGTCATAATTATTAATTAGGCACCGTCGTAGTAGTAGAGCTATCGGCTTACAACAATAATTGCCGTTAATTGCAGACTGCAGTAAAGTTACTCTACTCGTATTGTCGTCGCTCGACACGCAACGTATGGATTTCATTTCCGGCGACGGGTGGAGTGATGGCTGAGAGCGTATAGCTCACTCTGCCGGGTGACCGGTCGGCTTTTTAATAAGGCGTCTCCGACTTGTACACATACACTCCTCTCGAAAATCGCTCCGTCTCGAACTGGCGCATAATATGAGCACTGTGAGCGAGGCGCGCACGAAGTCTCAAAGTCGGCTACCGTCGAACCGCGTCAGTCGATACGATTTCGGTACCACTCTGCAGACACTCTGTTCACATCGCCGTTATGCTCCGCGAACATCGAGTACACGGTCGTGTCTGATAATCGATAAAACATTTTTAGTTTTTAGATTTCAACGATTTACCGTTTAGTTTCGCATAACCCGCACATTTCAGCTATGTGAGTCGTAGAGTAAAGCAGTTTATGTATTAAATTGCATGTGAGATGTGCCATTGAGATGATTTTCCTCGCCTTTTATGTTATTGGTTCCTATATTATTATGTCATTCCCTCTCGTGATTAAAAAGTTTATCTAGAAGAAGACAACAGCTGCCTACTGGGACACGCAAATGCATTATACGCATATTCGTTTTTGACAATTATTTGAATAAGTAAATGGCACGTACACGACACACCAGTGTAATAAAGAATATTTATTTATTTTTTTTGTATTCAGAATAAGTTTTCTAACATTCATCATATGAAAGTATCTCAGAATATTTATTCATACAAAGAACACTCAAAAAGTATTTAAATATTAATTTTTTTCTTATTAGTTTAATATTTTATTTGGAAAAAATTCTTCATAATATTATATACTCATTATGGATATGTTATATGTTCATCAGTGCAAAAAATACATTCCTGTTGGTTGTCGTTTACATTTGAAAAGGGAAAGACTGACATTCTGACTTCTTAAAATCAGACGCGTGAAACATTGAAGTACCTACATCTAGTATGATATATTATATTATATTAGGTAAAAATATTTAAACTTACCCCCTCTTCGGCCTTTACCATTGTTTCAGTCCACCAATACCCAAAAAACGTTGGTGATTTACACTTGTATGGATAAGTACAATATTTTATAAAATAAATAAGAACATATAGTATGTATTATTAATACTTATTCAGTATTTCGTATACAACATGATTTAGTATTTATATTTATAAATCAGTTATTGAAAATATAGATATAAAAAAAAAATTTATATATATTTTGAGGTATTTTGGATTTAGGTATAAAATATTAAAAACAAAATTCGAGAGATAAATTATTCAATATTTTCACAGACGCAATCTTTTTTCACACGATTAAAAATATAGTAACACTTAGGTACCCCACACCCTAGAGGCTAGAATATCTGAATGGTTAAATACCTATTGGTTTCTAATGTAAAAATAATGCCACCTGTTAAATCCAAGAACAAATAAATTAGTCTTATAATTAATAAGTAGGTATGCTGATAATTTAAATAATTATATATACTTATGGTCCAGTTATTCAAACTCATTCCTGTGTAATGAGTTAATTGCAGGGTATAGGTTTACTGTTAAAATATTACTCATCCTACTCGCAATTACAGACATATATAATTAATTATAAATGAGGTTTAGAAGGTTATGTTAAAGCACAAGTTGTCAGACGCTGTGAATCTTCTGTCAATGTTTCATTTTAGAATTGATAGATGGTCACATTGACCGCCGTGTTTATTAGTAAGGCTCTACAGCTCCTATATGTCAATAGTAAACTTTAGGCTCTATCTAATCACTGGTTACCGGTAAGTCAATCTAATTTCATCGCAAATGTGCATTTAATTAGAACTATATTGATGTATTGATGTGCATTGTGCGTGACCAATACAAATTATATCTAGGCCTAATATTTTATTGATATTTCTTTGTTGTATACAATGTAACTATACAAATAGGTTTAGGTATTTTTGTACAATATAATGTATGCTCACTGTTAAAAGCCGAATGCCGTTCATTTCAGAAAAATCAAAATATAGTTTATTGTTAAACTATTTTATTAAAAAGCCAAACTGAAAATTAATACTCTTAAAGTAATTATCTACATTAGTTAGGTATGAATTTAAAATCATTCGTAAATAATTATGAAAGTAGGAAACACATTACAGCTGCTACATTTTAAAATGTATACATTACCAAAGGTGCAGTTACAAATAAAATAATAAAATAAACATCATAATAAAAACTAGAAAGTTCTATTATAAATTGTAATCACTAATTTTTAATCACAAAATATTTAATATTTATATTAGTGTTACGATTAAATAGCAAATAACATAAACTATAATAACAAAGACAATAATGATTAAATAATTTTAAGGAGGTTTATACAAATATAATTACTGTAGAATAAAATCAATAAATAAACAATACACGTACCTGTTTCAATACATGTTAAGTTTAACAGTACACGTACATTATTATCGGTATAAATAAACGTGTTGTGAATTATGAGTAAGTATTAAACATTTACACATTGCGACTTCTCTATAAGTTATAATTTATAGTTTATCGTTTACTTATAATATACTACCATAGTCGGGTAGGTAGGTACTACCTACTATAACAATAAATCGTATTGGTCTTTAATGCATTGATATTTCTCTAACGTAATGTTTTAAATAGTTTTTTTTTCTGAACTGTGAAATGTTTAAAACAATAAAATTTAAATGACAAAGCAGTATACTTTTGGTCGATGTTATCTACGAAGTACTATTATTTTTTTTAAATAAAAGTGTCTAGGTACTACATACATTATTATCACTTGTGAAGTACATCAAATGCAGTTATTCAATGTTTCATATTTCAATTACTTACGAAGAATTTTTTATTTATCAAAACATTATTTGTCCTAAGTGTGAGTATAAACGTAACATAGTATTTTCTATTTTCGATAATTAATATTAATAGAAACGATTTCTTTAATTAATTCAATCATAGGTTTATTAATATAAGTTATATATATATTATATATTACCTAAGCGACAAGCGTACTACTTAACTGTAATTTAAGTTCATTAGTTAAAAAGTTGTAGACTGTATTTATTTATATAAATATTATGTTATTTGAAATATTTTTTTTTCGAAAATGTTATTTGTAAATTGCCTAAAAAGTATGATTCGAAATTTTAATACTAACTGTTCGGTGTTTACTAACCATGTACCTACGTACTTATTAGTCATTAGTCATATACTTAAAATACTCTTTGTTATAAATAGATTCAAATCATTTTATCTTTTATTTGCTATTGTAATAATATATTAGTGTAATATTTTATCTATTATCTATATTCTATAGTAATAGTACCCATACCTACCTATAATTGTGTACAAATTATACCTTGTATAATGTATAATAAATAGTAAATACTAATAATCAGAGGTTTGGAACTTAAATTTATCTTATCTTTTTCTAAAAACTGAACCTTAAACGTTACAAATTTTATCTATGTCCTACGGGCTATGAGTTTACGATACATAGGTATGTCAGCATAGTATATTATAATATATTGTATTACAAGTCATAAAAAGTTATCTATTGGTTTATATTGGCTAGATAATTTAATAATTAAATAGTATAAATAAGTAATAATATGGCAAAGTAGTTTTACAAAAGTGAGCGAGTCAGCAAATATTGATCTTTGGTAATAATTTATATTGTATGATTTTTATATATTATTTTGACGTTTCTGAAAGTCTAAACACAATATAAAAATTATACAATTTAATAAACTTATTTATGACTCCACTAAATTCATTTGTGATCTACTCAATGGCAACCTATAAATAAGCCCGACGACGAGGAGGTGGGTAGCCAGGGCTGTAGCTCTAGGGCCCGGGCCTGGTCAAATCAACCAGATCCAATATTTTACCTAATTTTTACTTAAATAAAAACGTATACATATAATATTAAAAATTAAATGCAGAACCTTTTAACTTCCTTTTAAACTTTTTTTTGTTATACATTAAATGACGACGCTAGGTGTTAGTGGTAAGTTTAATATTTATTGGGAAGATGTCTAAATAACTTTGTCTTTAGAACTCTTGCCTCTTAATTACTCTCCATAACCTTGTCTAGTTGTCTATAAGAGTTAAAAAATAAATTTTAAATACCCTATGAGTCTCAAAAAAACTACTGAAATAACTTTAACAGCCGAGTATTTTTTTAAATCTATAAAGTAGATAGATAAGCATTTATTTTTATGTAGATAGCTAGTTGCTAGATTACCTCTAAATCATTTTCATTAATAAAAAACTTTAATATTAATTTTAATCTTAATTCGCTCATTAAAATGTGTTTTTAATTATTATTAGTAAATTAATAATATACCATATTATAAACACAGTAATACAGATGTAATGTTAGGTCAATATATTTACTATTTAGTATAATAATTAATAATGAATAAATTACGTACCTATTATGATTCTGTTTCAGATAATGGTACAGGAAAATTGTTACAATAAGCATTGTATTGGTTACAATAAGTGGAAATGGACCCACAGTTAACCAAACAATTAATTCGAAGACGATTGATTTTAGAAAATTCTTTGGAAAATTCGATAAATTATGAAAATAAAATAAATAATATTGAAATATCTCCAATATTGTTAACAAATAGTGTACCGTCAAGTAACATAAAACACAATTTTCTAGAAAAAATCAAAAAATTTGAATCATTTGGTGATAATCAAACAAAGAGAACACATCAAAAAATTGTAGAAAAATTTCGTAATAATACTGAAATTGTCAACAAATTTAATAATCTGAATAAAGAAACAGCATCAAAGAGAATACAAATAACAAATAAACTTGAATTTGATAGTATTGAGAGCTTTTATAATAACAATAATAAAAAAGATAACTTAAACGAAAAAATAAAACAATTTGAAATATCATCTTTACCAAAAAATAAAGCCTTAAAATTAAGCACGAGAAGTGTTAAAGAACATCTACAAACATCAAATGAGTTAATCAAATCATCAAAAAAAAAAATATGCAGTAAATCTGATTATAATAATTGGAAAATTGACAAAAACTGGGTATTCTATACAAATTATTCAAGTGTAAATAATTAAAAAAGCTTATTAAAAATGAGTTGTAAAAAAACTAGAATCAGTCATCTATAATGATTAAAATAAATTAACTATGCCATACAATAATAATTTAATTTTCTAATATACGCATTATAGAATATATTAATATATATATAAAACATATATCCGTCTTGTAGTTTATTATTCAATAATAGTAATCAGTTTTTTCATAAAAATATTTATTTTATTTAAGTATGGATAACTGTGGTATAAGAAAATCTATTACGTCAAACAACGATAATATTCTAATTAACAGTATCAAAACTGGTGACACACATAATTTAAATTCACTTGGTTCAGATGTAGATAATAAAGTTAAATCTAATAATTCACAACTTTTGTCTGTAGATGGTTGGGAGAATTATCAAAAAGAACTTATACAGGTATGTTTTGAATTTTGGGAAGTAAACGAAACACAAGTTAAAGTAAACAATAGTCTACAGTCTGATTCAACAAATGAGCTACAAACGCCGTCATCATTATTTGCCAATAATTGTCACAGAAATATCATTGAATTTAAATCAAAACCCACTACCGATAATATTATTATTTCAGACAAAGTTCAAAACAAAGTATGCATCGAGATTAATGATAAATTTTTAAAAAGTAAATATGAAAACAACCCAGATATTCAAGGCTCTTCTAAAGCTATAAATAATAATATAGATGGAGAAAAAAATAAAAATAGTATAAAAATTGTCGACAACAGGGTAAATAAAAGAACTAAAAAAAAATTGAAAACATTCTCTTTTTATAAAAATACGAGCAATCAAGTCAAATCATCTAAAAAAGTACAACCATTAACTTTTGATACATCGTGCAGTTTAGAAGACTTATGGAAATATAAAAAATGGTTGGATTCAGTTGATAAAGTTAAAAAATATACTTCAGATATAAATATTAATGATGAAAATATTAAAGAAAATAATTATTCTGATAAAGCATACTGTGATAAAACAAATAATTGCAATACATATTCATTAGATTTTGAAGCAAAAGAAATGGAACAAAAATTTCGAAAACTAATCAAATCATTAAATGAAAAAGATAAATTGTTCTCAAGAGTAGGAATAAATGAGCAATCGACTAAATTTGGATCATCAAATAAATTTAAATATTTTTTAAAAAATGCTTTTCGAGGAACTCACAACGAATTAGATACACACATTTTAGATGACTACACAAAATTTATCAATCACAAATTGCATACATGGCAAAGTTTATTGAATTGTTTAGAAGATATTAGACAAAGAAAGTCTTCTAAAATAAAAATGTATAACCCTTTGGAAGATACAATTAAGTATAGATTTTCTGAAATAAATTTTCACGATTTGAAAACGATGGATGACTACGATTATAATAATTCCAAATTTTTCGAGATTAACGATAATTTTAGTGAAATGGAAAAGCAGAAAAAAAACAAATTTTTCAAATTGCTCAATAAAAAAAAAAGTACTATGGACATGGGTACTTTGGTTAAACAAACTACAGAACAAAATAGTACCGATAATATCCGAGTAAATAATTACCAATGCATATCGAATCAAATCATTGATAATAAAATACTTAAAATGGACACGGCAATTTTAGACGTGGAGAAAAATCGGAAATCTTCGGGTGAGATTAAGAAAAGTTTATCAGATACCGATCTACTAGTCTTAACATCAGATTACGACAAGAAATTAAATAAAATTGGAAACAAAATTACCAGAATCAGTGGAGAAAAATTAAACAGCATTGAAATGTCGATGACAAACGAAGAATACAATCGTCATTGGGATAGTATGACTAAAGAATCGTGGGAGGAACGGCAGGAGACATTCCAGACGGCTGTGGCTCGTTTAGAGTATGTAGGATGCACATTTAAGGAACAATGTCGTTTGAATGGATTGAAAACCTTATGCAAGGTAGATGTTTTGGCGAGCTTTGGGTATTCAGCCGAAGCTGTCGATCTTTTTGTATCTACTCTGCCATTAAGTAAAAACCCTGATTTAATGATTCGAAAAGCCGAAGCAGCATATGATTGGAAGTTTTTCTGTCATCTTTCTATGTGGCGTCACTCCTATAAGGATTGAAAAATAAATTAAAAATTACTTGATTATATATTATGCACTATTGACTATAATAATATTAGCTATAAGTTAGTATCTATTGAATATTATCTACTTCGTATTTTGTAATTTATGCTTGTAAAAATTTAATATCTATAAACTACATACGTAAGTGTTGTATTAATAGCTATTATACTTATTAGCATTACATTAATTAAACAATAATATGCATTCAAAATGCAAATAATTTATTTGTTGATTAAATTATGTTTTATTTTGTAATAATTCTTTTTTATAATTGTTAATAATTTGAATCTTCTTACGTATTAAAATATACATTTAAATATTTTTTCAAATTTTTAATCGATTGACAATTTATGATTGGTTAAAACTTTTAAATAGATAAGTACATTATTTTTATCGCAACCTAATCAATATAATATACAGTATATGTATAGTGTTATGAGGAATAGCCAATGGGTTTATTATACTGATTAGTGATTAGTGATTTATAAACGAGTAGATCGTAGACATGGGATAAAAATAACTATTACTATTTAGTTAAATATCAAACTTAATATAATTGATTTTATCAATGTATTATAATATATTATTTTATCTGTAGAAAATAAATCTATTTTATTATATTTGTTTTAATTTTGAAATAAATTAAACATTGAATATTATTAAATTGGTATTTATTTACATATTCAAATAGTTTTGATCTAAACCTGTGTAGATTTGTATCAAAGTAAAATACTTATTATAGATATAATATAGTGATTTCTATTTTCTACGTCTTATACTCTTGTGATATATCTATACATAATTAGGGCCATCATTTGGGAAATGTAAGTGTGTGCATTTACTATAGATTCTCTTATTACATTTTATGGATTTTTGTTGAAATTGATAAATATTTTTTTGACACAATTAATAACATTTTAATGATTTTAGACATTTTTAATGATAAAAGTGATCTCTTTTAAATTTTAATTCTGCGAAGGTAATATGTATATATATTTATTGAAGATTTTAACAAAGTATATCTGTATATCTTTTTAAATAATAAATATCTTAAAATTTAAATTATATTCTGAGGACTCCTATGCTCAAATGTTAAATCATTTATAATTAAAAATATGCAAATAATTTTTTCTTTATGTATCGACTCGTTTTCATTTGTATAAAATAAAAAATGATAAAATATTAAAAATTCATTTTAAAATTTTAAAGTACCTATTTTGAGAACGATTCTTATTATAGTCGACTATTTGTTAATTATAGACTATTCGTGTCAATTTCATGAAAAATTGTAAGATGACGCTCTTGTGCCTAATACCTATTATCTTTTTTAAACGATTAAAAATATTTTATATAAGAATTTAGTTGGTAAGTGTTAGAATGCCAACAAGGCTTATTGAACAAGCAGACAGTAAAAACAAAAAGGTTTATTGTAAAAAGACACGATAGTTTTTGATTTTTCCAATAAAATGATAATTAAACACAACTAGATAGAATCTTCTGATATTAAAAATGTATCTTATCGTGAACCTAACAACCAATCCAAAGTCTAAAAATACAGGAATACATGTTTGAAAATACAAAAAGAGCTTATAAATAAGTACTCAATATTCATGAATACAAATTCCTACATGGTTATACATAGGTAATAATAAATACTGATTATTTTTATTAGAAAATATAATATTATATGTATCCTAGCCCCTAGGACACAAAAGAATGTGTATTACAAGAAAAATTGTATGAAAATATGAGAAAAGAAGCCATCCAGTGATAGCACTACCTTTTTTTTATACATATATATTAGGTATATTAATAATAAATATATATATATATTTATAATTATTTTTTTTTCAACCGTTTTTGTTAGTTATTATCATTAATTATTAAGAAGGTTTCTATATTAATTTATTTTCAAATGCCGTGAGGATTTCCATTTTCCAGAGATAGTGCTTATTAATAAATCAGATATCAAAAGGTTTGGATGAGAGGGATACCTGTTTAAAAATCATTTATAATTAATGTTTATGAATAATTTTAATTTTTAGATCAGACTGATCAGAGTAAAGAGCTATATTGGAAAATATTAAGAGATGTATTGGCGATTAAACGAAGTATTTGTTTTGAACTGTTTGAATTTTGTTCAAGTTGGATTTTTTGGTTTTACCCCAGATATGAAGGCCATCTGTTAACATTAACTTATTTAAGAATTTTTAAATAAGTAATTTGGTGTTTAGTTTAATATGTTTACAAGATATTAATGTTGTAAGCAACTGAAAATTTGCATTTAAAGCAAGTTTTTTCCTATGTGTAGTGCCCAAGTGAGACGTCGTTTAAACGTTAACCGCAGATATTTAACTGAAAGGGAAAATGAAACTGTAAGTGACTGTAAGTGATGTGTTAAAAAATTTGAATTGTATTATTGTACACAAAATACACGATTTTGAATAGTGAGCGGAGATGGTCTATTAGTCTATATGGCATTATGGCTATATTTCAACAAAAATTTATTTGATTAAATTATTGTAAAAATTAACATAGTTTTAAGTGTTAAAAAGTAAAATTATATACATTTTTAACAGTAAAAGAATTTCCAAATTTTCGTGGTTCTAATGAATTTCATAAAAATTTTAACTTTTACTAGTTTTTTAGCATGTTTAAAATAGATAAAATCATGTATTTTATCTATTATATTCGAAAAGAAAAAATATTGAAGAATCATGAATTTCATTTTCAAGTTTTTACCCGAACATAAAAATTTTATAAAATATTTTTAATTAGGTAAATAAAAAATAAAAGTTTAAAATACTTATTAATAACACAAAAAATTTTGAAAATTATATTAAATAATAAATTTGGCAAATGCTAATATGATTATATGGTAATCATTTTTAGTCCGCACAGTACTTAATTGTCTTTATTATTGGATTTAAAACCAAAAAATAAAAATAAAATCGATTTAATTCAAAAACATTTTTTAATTTTACGTTTTGTCTCGGTCTTTTAATTATTAATTATTATTTATTTTATCAGTGTTATCACTTATCTTATTAAGTTGTGATTATATAGTAATCGTGATCAATTCTAACCGAAAATGTAACTAACTACAGAACTATTTACCAAAACTTCAAAATTCTTATCATATTTATTTTAACCAATACCGCGGTATTTAAAGATGAAGGCCGCAACCAGATCTTTGTTTATAGTGTTTATATTGCTTATAATATTTATACAGTTAATGATAAGATACAAGCGTATTCAAATAATTTAATTTTTACTTTTAAACTTGGTCATAGTTATTAGTTTAAAAAAAATATATTAACTATAGACTATGTCGTGTACCCATGTTTAAATAATGATTATCAATTAAATATTGTAAATTATTCACTTACGCTTAAACTTTTTAAAATGGCGACTAATGATTTGACTAGAGTAAAAGTAAGTTAAATTATATTTATTTTTTTGTTTTTAATTCTTCAAACAAAATTTTTTTTTTATCTTTAGGGAACTTCTATCGTTAAACCAATTATATATGGAAACACTGCTACATATTTTGGCAAACGACACGAAGATGGTCATACTCACAAATGGTGTGTATATGTAAGGCCTTATGTTAATGAAGACATTGGTACCTGGGTCAAAAAAGTTCATTTTAAATTACATGACAGCTATGAAAGTCCAACTCGAGTTATACAAAAACCTCCGTTTGAAGTGTCTGAAACAGGCTGGGGTGAATTTGAATTGGTTATCAAGATATTTTTTCAAGATACAAGTGAAAGACCAGTAATAAAAATAAATAATATAAAAAATTATATTTAAAATATATTTATTCTAGTATTTACCATAACTTAACATTAATTTTATATTTTGTAATTACTATTCAATTAACATAAATTCTTTTCCATATAGTATTAAATATTATTTTTTATCAAAAATTATGTTTATAGTATGTAGAGTAGTTTTCTTGTATTTATTTTTTATTATAGTATCTAGGTATATTGTTTTAAAAATACATTTATTTGTATAATTTATAGGTTACACTTTATCATGTACTTAAGTTGTATAGCAATGGACAAGACTCAGAACTAAGTGAAAAACCAGTTTTGTCAGAATTTTATGAGGAAATTATTTTTCAAGATCCATCAACTTACATGAAATATGTATTAAATGATACATTGAGTAAAAATCCTCCTATCGATGAAAATAATTTACATTGTATGTACCTCTGTTGTCATTTTTAGCTTAGTTTTTTTATGTTGCATATGTTTTTTTAGATGAGCGCATAAAAAAGACCACAGTTGAAAAAATGATAAAATCTAGAAAAAGAGTACAAGAACACACAGTTATGTACAAAGAACGTTTAAAAAAATTAAGAGAAACTATAAACAAATTTAAAGATGAAATTTGTGCATTGCAATCACAATGTAGTTCATCAGCATTGCGATAAATAAAGATAAATAGATACATAATGGTTATTGAAATCTTTTATTAAATACACAAATATTAGGTATCTATTATAATTATTATATTTTAATCTGTATTTATTTTTGAATTTAATTTCAATCACTGACAATATAATTATAAAATTTGATTCATATTTTATTAGTAATTAAAACTAATTTTATAACCATTACCATTAGCTATAGAATAGATTATTCTATCTAGATCTATAATCAATGCTATTACCAATCCCTTTGTTTAGATTATAACATTTCTATAAATGATGTTTAATAAAATAGATAATTTATGGCTTATGGGATTAACGTTTTTATAATTCAAATAACTCCCTTATGAAATAATACATTTTATATTTAGTGAGGTCCAATATTGTTTAAAGTATTTTTCTTTTAAAAAATCATTTAGATTATATTTAATCCCGCTTAAGTAGCTTGTTAAGTATCTAAAAAAGATCCTATACATCTTATAAGTACATATAGTATATTTGGACTTTCTAATAAAAGACTCTCTTACTTCCCTCTATAATAGAAAACTTCATTTATTATCCTAATGTTAAAACCAGAGAAACTATCTGCTATTTAACATCTTATCTGAGATTACTGATATCTAACCTAACTTAGTGTAATCTCATCAATAAGTCTACTGTCTCTGCAAAAACTATGAAAAAACTTAGTCCTATTGTTCTATAATTAATAACAAATAAATTATTTCACAGACCAATTTGACTTAAGCTATTCAACCAACTATCAGATACATCATTTATTATTTAATAATGCCATACCCAACTCATTTAAAAATAAAATACAGTTCAGCTGTTTTTGATACAACTCTATTTAACCAAGTTTGAAATTTTGAACTGACTGTAATTCCCAAGTTGAGAAAAAATTATTTATTGACTTATTCAAATTAAGAGTATCACCATTGAGCCTCTAGTGGCTGGTTTTTATTATTATGTTAACATTTTTAAGTGTCAAGTCATATTATGTATAATAATTTACATATACTTATTGTAAATATTAGATTTGTAGATTGTACATAGGTATTTATACATTATATATGAAATTAAGTTAAAAATAATAAAAAATATAGAAATTTCAAGTATAATGTTTGTAAAATAAAACTTTGTGAATAGGTAGTATTATATTATCTTAGATATAAAAATTGATTTTTATTATATTAGACTAAATATATAGTTATAAAAGTGCAAAAAAAAATATTTTGCATGACAGTTTAACATTATATTTTATACAAAAATAATAAAAAAAATTATTTTTTTTAATCTTTTTAAAAAATTGTGTTTTATTTTTATTTTTATTTACTTTAATAATTTTCTTTTAAAAAATGTTTTGAATATCTATGCTGTTGAGTGCAATGTAAAGGATTTTCTTCTACAGTTGTCCATAGGATATTACATGAATTGTAAGAACAAAAGTCCAATTTAATAATGATTTGAGTTGTTCACTTGATAATGACTTATGAGGATATACTATTTCAATTCAAAAGCAAATGATTTTTGTTAGTTAAAAGGAATTTAATTAAAAATAATAACAGTTTAAGTACTTAGAGAAAAATCTATAAAAATATATAAATCAAGACTAAACAAAAATATGTACATTAAATACTTACCATCATTTATAATGTACAAATGCAACAATAGAAAGTAAAGAAAATTTATTTGTTACAAAACTAACTTGAAACAATTTTGAAATGAGTTTAAATTAATGTATTATTTAAATCTTGATAATTAAAATAATTGATAAACACTAAATAAGTGTACATCCAAGATTTTTTTTTAAGAAAAAGCTTACAAGTTTTCTATTTTCCTTTACACTAGAAATAAACACCTACACTTGTATTTATATTTTATAAAAGATTTTGGTAGCCCATTTAAACATAATTGTCCGATTGTTAATTGTGTTTATGAGGTAAGTTTTGATTTATAAAAATATGAACTTTCAACCATAAATACTTGTACTTACTGGTAATATTGCAAAATATATTTTCAAAAGTAACCACATAAATTTTAACTACCAATTGTGTAGTGGTGTAATTAAGAAATAATTTTTGAATTTTTAATACCTCAATAAATTTGAATTTGACTTTTGCAACAAAAAAATTATTTAGTACTTTGTGGCATATTTTTTTCATAAAATTTGAGAACATTTTTAAAACTAGTTATTATTATACACCTAGTCATTGTTCTCAAACGACAACTGATTAAATCGCTATATACCCATCAGTATTTAAAATACATTTCAACAAAAATTAATCCAGTTGCAAATACTAATTAAGTACGAACAATTAATCTGTATCTACCTTTTGTAATTCATAATAATAAATAGAAAATATAAACCAATGTAATATATTTCTGACAAATTAATAGATACTCTACAGTCTAAAATAATGTATAAGCTCTAATAAAAAAAAATTGGATGGCTTTAGGACTACTAGAGAGAGCAATAAATAAATCTTGATTTTTCATCTTATTTAATAATATTACAAATAAATAATAGATGTAAAGGAATTAAAAGTTCTTTTAATATTTATGTCTGACTGTCCGAGTGATGACATCTTATCAATTTGCTGTGGATAATGCACTATTTAAGATAACGTTTACTTTACTTCATACTATTTAGTGATAACATAGTAATATACCTAAACGGCTATTATAGTTTTATAGTTTAAAAAATATAAATATTAGGTATATAAATAAAAAAAAGAATTAAAATTATTAATTAATAGATTAACTATTATCATGTCTCTCATTATTTTCGATTTTAATAAATGTACAATTTAACTTGAAAAATGTATTTGATACCTTCCTAATTAATTATTGTAAACATTTTTGTATTTCTTTTATAACACAATTTAAAATGTATAAAAATAATATTATAATTTTGACAGTTAATATTGTTAATTACTGTATGAAAAAAATTAATAATTTATCAATAAGTTCATCCCTTTGTTTTATTCAATAAAAAAGTAACATCTGCAATGGCATTTCTTTCATGTATAAAATTATGGTATGTATTTGATAAAAATAAATATTTATGTATTAATTCTAATTAGTTTAATTATGTATGTGCTGCATTTAAAACTTAATATTTATTTTATATTACCTGTATTAATGCCTTTGTTTTTACTTAAATTTATTTTTGTTAAAGATTAAAAAATTAGATTTTTATTTTAATAGTTACGTTCTGTATTATGAATAAGTTATTTATGTAAAATATTTTTGTTCTTAGTAAAAATAAATTAAATTAAATTATTTATTTTTATTTTTATTTGATAATTATTGGCTAATTTGAATAGTATTCAATTTTTATATCTACACAAATTTATTGTTTGTTTAAAAATTTAGTGAAAGTAATTACTTACTAATTTGTATGTGATAAGCATTTAAATAAGTTATGCTGGAAAATATTTATAGTTAAGATGTTATATTTAAGACCTTTGTAATTATTAATTTCATAAATTATGTATAATTTTTAGGTTTTCCATTTTGGTATCTATTATTACAATAATTATTTTACAAAATGTATTACCAGTTTTATCAAATTTGAATCAAAATGTATCTTCATTAAGTACTTTTATTAACAATAGTCTTGGATATTGTTTAATATTAATTCCTGGATATTGGCTTTACAAATTTGCAAAAAAACAAGATTTGGGAGGTAAAGAACTTAAGTAGATTATTTAAATTAATTTAATATTCAAGTTTTGTGAAGAATTGAAATTATAATTTTAATTACTTTTTTTAATGAATGCAGATAATCGGTTTACAAGTAGATTGTTAAAAACATTGTTTGGGGATAAGCATGATTTAGAACCAGAACAACCTTTAACACCTAGTTACAATGGACCAGCTAATTTTAGAAAAGATATAATAACCTTTGTATACTGTTTTGGAGGCTTGCAAGCATCTTATTTAATTTGGGGCGTAATTCAAGAAAAAATGATGTCCGAGGTAATTAAACCATTAATAATAATTTTAAGTAATCGATTTTGATTATCTTTTCTTCTTTTATACCTATTTATTTGTTTTTGTTAGTGCTATGGGACAAACGAAGCTTCAAAGTTTCATGATTCTCAAATGTTGGTGTTTTTGAATAGAGGTTTATCTACAGTTTTATCTGGTATATTTTTATTTATGAATGAAGGAATTCGATCTAAGAAATCACCACCATTATATAAATACAGCTATTGTACTGTGTCCAACATTATAAGTTCTTGGTGTCAATATGAGTCTCTCAAATATGTCAGTTTTCCTACTCAGGTATGCTTCTGAACTTATCTTCAATATTATAATTAAATTATTTTATATTGTGAATATTATTAAGGTATTAGCAAAAACTTGTAAAATTATCCCTGTCATGTTAATGGGAAAATTAATGTCTGGTAAAAAATACCAATATTACGAGTATGTTACGGCGATAGGAATTTGGATTGGTATGGCTATATTTCAGTTTTTTACAGAAAACAAACATTCTGGTAAATACTTTAATTGTTTTTTATTTTTTGTGATTAGCTTACTCACATCAACTTATTTAAATTTTTCTTTAGACATCACAACTTGTGTAGCTGGAGTCATCTTACTTGTAGGATACTTAGCAACAGACAGTTTCACATCAACATGGCAAGGGGAAATGTTCACACAATACCAAGTTACTTCTATGCAAATGGTTTTTGCTAATTCATTACTATCATCACTTCTTACAACTATACCACTATATCAAGTGGGCTCATTCAAAAAAACATATGAATTTATTATAGAGGTGTTTAATTGATGTTGATTTTATTATTATATGCACAAAAAAGTAACATATTTTTTTATTTTAGTATCCAGCGTTTTTAACTGACTGTATAGTTTTGTCTGTAAGCTCTGCATGTGGGCAACTATTTATATATAAAACTATTTCTAAGTTCGGACCAATCGTGTTGACTATTATAATGACCATAAGACAAGTAAAAGAAACCATTATTTAATAGTATTTAAATATATTTTATCAAACCTAAATTTAGTTATACTAGTAATTAAAAACAAACTATAGCCGTTTTTAAGTTTTCTTAACTTAATGTTTACTTATTGTTTTTTTTAAATATCAAATCATATACTTGTACTATGTTTTATATATATATATATAATTTTTTTTTTTGTATTTTACTATTTATGTCATAAAAAAAAACTTAATTATCAATATTATTTTTCAGGGTCTATCAATAGTGATTTCCTGCATAAGATATCATCACCCTATTGGCATAATGGCTGCGCTCGGAATTGTTCTTGTATTCATTTCAGTATTTGTACGTTGCTATTGTCATTTCCGTGTTAAATCAAAAAAAGTTCCTAATCATACAACATTCAAAGTATAAATCAAGGTAATAAAATTGACTAGTTTATGATTTAAAAAAAAAAATATTTTGTGTTTATGTACAAATAAAAAATAACAAATAATTGTTTTTAAATTACAATTTCATGTTGTTGAATCACTGCTTTTGAATGTCAGTAATGATACAATGCCAAAGAAAACTTGAGTTGCTTGAAGCATAAGTTGTATGCATCCTAGAATAGTTTCCAGCACGAAAGTCCTTTTTTGCCACAGCAAAAAATACAGTACTCCTATTGCTGATGGCACAGTCAAAATGAGTGAAAGAACGACACATATTGCTTTGTCGGCTGCATTGTCCCGACGCGATAAAAACGTGCGAAACACTTCAATGAGACATAGAAACACAAATACTGTCATATCAGTCCCAAGTTCTTTTCGAGTAAACGTCTTTTTTTGAGCATCATCAATTGATTTGGCACATATAAGTGAGAACTCAAACGTTGAAAACATACCAAAGTAGTAGGAATTAAGGTACATTAACACTTCAAACATCAGAGGTGCTTCCATTTCGCATCACAAAATTATTTAAATATGAATAGAAACGTTTGATTTGACACGCAGTCTGCAGAGTTACTAACTTAATACACTCGAATACTTTATTGCTATCTAGCTATTTTCGTCCACATGGTCTGACCCTGGTAATCAATAAACTACAATGTTGCCCGAGTTGTATCTCAAAATGTTAAGTTAAAAACAAGGGAAATATTTAAAACTTAAAACACATTTTTTCGTTTTAAAACCTCATAAAAATGTAATACGTATTTCATTTTTACTCGAATTCGTTTTAGATGTGATTGTTTATTAATAATTAATTGTAAAACAAAAATGTTCTTAATTTGTTGTTTGGTATTTAGTTTTGCGTGCCGAATTTTGAGTACCCCTGAACTTTCGTTGCGTGGGTATATTATAATACAGGGCGTTTGAAAATCCATTTTTAAAATTAAGTTATTTTTAACATTTTTGTTTAATAAAACAAACTATTATTTATGTTATACTCAACATTTTTGTTCAATAAAATAAACTATTAATTATATTTGATTGAAACTATAATAAATTTAAAAATAGTAAACCTTTATCGTCGTAAATTGTTGTAACTTTATTTGAATTTTGTTGCGTTTAAGCTTAAATTAGTTTTAATAAAAACAAATTAAATAAGTAATACCTATTTATTGCCGGTTGTCGTTTGCGCACCACTATTGTATTTTTGACCTTTTTTGTTAGACAGTTGCGCATCGTTCAATTTTTGGGTTATACATCATTTGCGTATCAACCGTTTAAAACGTCTTACATCACTTGCACATCAATATTATTTAACAATAAGACTAAAAAAGGTGTATGCCTAAAAGTGCTAGTTGTTTTCTAACTTCTATATTAAAATTCATACATCTCCAAATTTACTTTCGTAACATTTAATTTTCAAATATTTTACAGATATTTCTGTGTTAAGATATGTAATAGGTATAATAATATTGTGTAGGTAATCAGTTATTAATAACACAACTAAAATGTATGGTTGATAAATCGATTTTTATCGCAAAGTGTATCAAACGAGATAGTAGATTACTGGACAATAAAACGCGTGAGACACTATCGAGACGTGAACATTATATTATTATATTGTAATCATGAGTACCTACATGTAATCATGAGTAAATTCAAATTTGTTAAATCAAATCGTGGAAAAGCTGGAATAATTTTCCAAAAGTATTTTTATACGGAAAGAAATACTGAAAACTTGTGAGATCATGTTGATATTGTGTCCGAAAAAAAGATTGCTATGCTTCAATAAAAATCAATGAACACCGAAAAGTGATGTTAGAAATATGCGGAGAACACATATATATCAAATTGACGGAATCGGAGGTAGAGAGACACGAAGTAAGTCAAATTAAGAATTATAAATTCATTTTTTAAAATAACTTTGTAAAAGGTAAATCAATTCCCTTTAACAACAAGGGTGAACGGCTTAAACTTAAAAAGTAAACATGCGTGCAATTATGCGCAGAATCATTTTCTTTTCAGATCAAAAACACTATAAAAAGAAAAGCCTAAAAAAATTATACGGAAAGCAATATCTGAAGCAGGTCATTTAATGGTCAATGATATTTCTAACTATAGACAAAATATATACCTACCTATAGAAAATATAGGAAGGTTTTACCAATGTTGCTGAAATTATATGATAATAAAGCTATTTTGCAATTATCTTCTTCGTAGGAACCACTTATAGCTTAAAAAAAAAAAAAACAATTTCTTTATACTAATAAGTTATAACAATAAAATTGTATTATTAACTTCTGAAACAAATTTAAAAACTTAATGACAATTCAGAATATATTCTGGCAAAGGACCTATAGTCTATAGATATTGTCCAAAATATTTTAATCGACTATATACGATACATATTTACAAAAACAGTCTATACTTACCAGTTATCCTTGGCTTATTATTTTTTAGCCAGAAAAACCACAACAGATTATAATAGAATGTGGGGATTTTTTATAAATACATATGATTTAATGAATTTAGTATTCAATCCAAAATCAATGACAGAGTAGATTTTGAAAGTAGTGCACATTTGGCAATTATACACCTTTTTCTCTATGCAATATATATGGATGTAGATTTCATCTTGGACAAGTCTGGTGTAGGAAGCTTGATCAAGATTTTCCTTACCTACGAAACGAATATAAAAATAATTTATTTCTTACTTCTTATACTTAACCGTAAAATCTACATAAAGTCATATACTTTGTATCTACAATTTATCAATTCTATCACATAATATTATGTGTTGAGGATTTATCACTAAAAACCCGTATGATCGCCCATCCAAGAGCTAGCGACATAGTCGATGATGACATAAGATCACGTTAATGATTGAGGCCAACCACTGTACCACATCAGACTACACTATTTGTAATAAGTATTATTTTTTATTTTTATTTTCACATTATCAACAAATTATGATTTGAAAACTTGTTTCATAAATTTTTTTCTGAAGAATAAGTAAAAATAAAAATGTTGATCTTACAATATAGGTACATAGTGCAATTTAAAAAAGTCAAACTTAAATTACGCAACAAAAAAATACAAACATCTTTTAGATACTTTTATTTAAATGCATATAAAAATGACAAATTTGAAAACTAAAAATTAGGAGGTTAAATGTTTTTATAGCTAGGTGTTAGTTACTTAGTTATTTTGTACTTACCTTACTTGCCGATTTTTATTTTGCAAAACAGTAAGCTGATTTTATCCCAATCTGCATGCCTCTGACGAGTCTGATGATAAGTACCTATACTTATTTATCTAACCACTCGGAATCGATATTTGTGCAATACGATGATTTATTATTACATTAAAGCATATTATCCAATTTTTATTTATTACATAATATGTACGATTTAGTAAACTCCTATTTTGCGCTTGAGTAGTTTATTAGGTACTTAGTGTATTATAATATACAGGACCGGATTTAAGAAAATGCAAACTATGCGGTCGCACAGGCGGCAAAATTGTGTTAAATATTTATTAATAAAATTACATAATTTCTTAAATTTATTTTAATATATCAACATTTTGAACGATATATTATGTATTAATTTATTTGTAGCAAAGTAGTATGTACTTATTTTTCTCTCAGAAAATCATCGATGACGACGACGATTATTTTTTATTATAAACTATAGTTTATCTAATTGTTTATAGAATATAAATACTAAGATAAAATACTTTACGTTGTATAAACATTTGCTTTATTGAAGCGGTAATGATATGAGTTCATTTGTTTATAATAATTGAATTGTTTGTCCACCAATAAATATAAACGTACACGTAAATTATTTATAGTGACGAGTGTTAACATATTTTTGATGACCATATTATTGATATTATAGAAATATAGAATATAGATTAAAATTTAATTTAATAGGTACTTATTTTTATTCTAATACATAATACATTATAAATGTAAACCGATAAAAGTTAAATTGGTATCAATATAAAAAAAAAATCAAAAGAAAACACCGATTAGTAAATTAATGTTACACCCGCTACTGATTATATATTCAATTGTATTTTAAATTTAAAAGCAAAATTATTTTTATCTAGCCAATTATTAATGATTAATGACTGATAAAAATGTTAAAATTTTTGACTTTGTTAAATAGTTGAGTGTTTTAATAAGATAAAAAAAAAGAAAAAATCATGTGTAACCAATTTCATTTTATACGTCGTAGTTCATGCATCTATAATTTCTAAAACATCAAAGTTATAATACATTTATACGTATATTATTAAATTATTTAAATAGCATGAAAAAAAAAGTGTAAATCTAAGTTTTAACTACATAGAAGACAGATAGCCGATAGGTAATAATAATACAAACTAGACAAAGTTTTGTAAAATATTAAAACTATTCTTTTTTTTTAGAATTAGATAAGTGTCTAAAATAATCATAGATTATTCAAAACAAATCTTTAATAGATACGGTTAAATGTAAATGATAATAATAATAAATGAGATTAACTTTCTAATTGTTGACACTCATCATCAAATTTTCCAGAAAAATTATTGTCTAAAATATTTTTAAAGTCCTTAAATTTGCATGGATTACCGCAAGTAGATATTGGAACTTCTATTCCTTTTTCATTGTCCCAACGATCGTAAAAGTACACCTATAAAAAGTTTAATTTAGTGATAGTAGATAATAGCTGTATGGTATAAACTATAATCTATAAAATAGAAATTAGCGAGTAGAATACTCGTTTAACAGTTAAGTATTCTGTAAATATTAGTTATTAATTAACAATTATAATATCATACTTTGATAGTGTATTCATTAATTTCGTCATAATACAAATGAAAATGTAACGAAGCACCAAAATTGGGCATGTCAATATTTGTATTGCCTAGAAAGCTCATTGCCATTGCTACACTAATATCGTGTCCTGAATAAAGATACATTTTTCTTGTATCATTATTATTTGAACGTGATTCCATGTTTAAGCCAATTTCATTTAGCAGAGATCCTTTAACACGTATAAAAAAAATTAATATGTTTCAAAATTAATATTTAATTTTTTTTTTTTAATTGTTAAAACTTTTAATGTTTCCAATAATTAATATGTTACTTGTTCGAAAACTCGATTTTGATAAATCGAAATACTGTTTTGGAATATAAAATAAAAAATGTATGCTAGCTGTCATTTTTGAGTAAATAATTAAAAGTTATAACAATTAATATTTGTAAGACATTTTTTTTTTTTTAATGATGTTTTGTAATGACTTAAATTTTTTTTAAATATATATTTTCAAAAATATTAGTGGTTTTTAAAATAATAAGTGTCTTATACTAAATGGATCATATATGTTGGATCAGGTCATTTTAGATTGAATGAATAAATATTGAATATGAATCATATTCGATTATCGCAATAAACAATTTTACTCACCTATAATAATTTTCTGAAATCTACTATTTTCAAAACACATTCTTGTTATTTTTTTATTTCTAGAAATTGACTTTATTTTTTCAATGTGGTAAGGCTTAATCCATTCCGGCAGTGGTAAGCCTTCAGCCATCTTTAGGAATAACACCATATAAAAATAAATTACTAGTACCTAGTGTGCTTTAAACACACTATAGTTACATAATGTATTTAAATTTATGTTTTATATATACATACTTGACATAAAAATAGGTCGTCTAGCCTTATTATATTCGTATTAGTGATCGGTTGTCCACATTTTTCAGACAAATACGACAATAATGTTGTTGTATTTTCGTCGGCAAGATTGCCTATTTGAATAAATAACTTATTCATCATAAAATCAAAAGCTAGACATTTTCCTCGTTCATCAAACAACTGCAGAAAAATAAATGGTATAAATTAATTATTACCTAGGTATTTAATATACAGAACACTGAGATCTTGAGTAGCTTATTATTTCGAACAATTTGCCCTTCAGCACTGATAATTGCCTCTTAAGACTTCTATTTTAACTCTGCTAGTGATTAAACATGGAAAAATTAATTTATTAAAAGGGTTGAAGGAGACGATTTGAAAAAATTACAGATATTTTTGATGAGTGATAAGGTTTTATTGGAAAAAGTATGAACTATTTGCGATGAGACTACACTAGTGCATGTAGGGCCGCCCGGGAATTGGGCCACAATTAAATTATAAGTTTATACTAATATTAAAAGCGTATAAGAACATTAAAAGCCAGAAAACGAACTTTAATAAAATTCGAAAAAAATTATAATCCCAATGAAATTAAAAAATACGAAGAAGGAGTAAAAATAATCAATAAACGTTATATTATATTCGTATATTCCTGCAGTATTATACATTTATGATCCAATCTCTAGATACACTATAAAAACATAGATTTATTTATAGTCCAATCTCCGAGTAGTAAAAGGTAAACAAATATTTATTTTTTTTTTCAGGTAAATAAAATGTGGCCCAATTACCGACCGTCCGTGCAGTAGCTAGTGATCAACTATTTACTACAAGTTAACAAGCTAACAAGTTAATTTTTTGTTCTTTATATCCAAAATTCTGCGAGACATCAATATGTGCATGTTTTAAAAAAGTATATGTGTTCATCAGTAAGTTTATCAAAATAAAAATATTGCATCATATAATTTACTCATTTTAACATATATTAATTTTGAATAGAATTATTGTACGCATATATGAAGCAAGGACAGACCAAGGTTGAGGAGTCGAATGGTTGCCCTTTCCCAAATTAAATAAAAAAAGATATTATTGGGCCAAGCTTTTTGCTTTTTTTTTTGCTGTTTATACGCCCCCTCCCCCCATGGACAATTTCTGAATCCGTCTTTGATCTAAAGTAATTAATATAAAAGCATACATACTGTTCCGTGGTCTGGCGAATCGTTGTAAATAGGAATAGGCTGCCAAATAGTTTCCGTGTCTGACCATTTTTGATAGTCTTTTGGTGGATACATTCCAGCTAAAACCATTGCTGCTGACATGAAAGTCCGTCTTTTGTTAGTAGTTTTGGTTAAGATCTCACTATCCAAATATAAGTCACTTAAGAAACCATTGTATAAGCGTCGAAATATTTGTCCTTTTTTGTACATATTTTGCTTTCCTTTCTGTTGATTAACACTATTTGAGAAAATGACACAGTAAACGCTTTTTAATCTATACGTTTTCATTAAATTGTGACTATGAAAGAAGTAGGCTACATCAATCTTGAATTTATAGATTTTAAACCAAGCCATAAATCTATTGATTTTTCGAATACAATGTGTTTTTTTCATTTTTGTAATGTGTACCTACCGTGTACCTACATAATAAGTAGTCAATAAAATACTTGATTTTCAGGTTTGAAAGTGGTTTTAGATAGTAAATCAAATATAGTTTATATTTTTGAAAGGTCTAATTAAAAATAAGTATTTTTCAAAATAATTGGTAAAAACTGAAAAAATTAAAGAAAATGGGAATTTTTTATGTAAAATCAGTTTTTGATAAAATCAATTTTATTTATTTATTTATTTTTTTTTTTGTAATTTAAAAGTGAATATTTGTAAATATTTGAAATTCTTATAAAATGTTTATGTACATTATCATTTTCAATGCATGATTTAATTTTGTATTAAATTAATCTACATAATTTGGAAATTTGTGTGTAGTATAATTCATAGTATATATAAAAATTGTATGTCCCCCATGAATATTTTTTTGAATTATAACAAAATAAATAATATCATTATTCATCGTTAAAATAAAATAGGTTTATTTTTTAATCTGTTCAGAATCTAAACACAAATCAATGTCAACGTATATTATAATATAAAAGCATATTTTAAATTTCTATCGACACATACAAATATTTTTATAACATTGCAATGATCATTAGTTTATACCTACTTTAGTTAATTCTCCGTTTCCTTCAGGAAAAGCATTTTTGTGTGGGTCTGTTTTGTACTTGAATATTGGCGCTCTATTTCCATGACGAAATAACTGTAAAAGATGTACATTGATTTTTTTTTTTTTAATGTACTTACAAGTTATAAAATTTAATTTTTAATATCTTGTTTTGTTTAATATATTAAAATAATATAATTTTTAAATGATATATTTTAAATAAAACGGTAAAGTACCTTCTCATTTTATTTTTTTAAATTTTATTTTTTTAAATTTTAAATATTTTTAGTTTTGAGGTATACATTTTGGTCATCTCAGTATAAATTATTAATACATACTATGTTGACAAATTTGAGTGTAGGATCTGAAAATATTCCCGGTTCAATGACGTTGTTGGTTTGTCGTCCCGATCGAAAATTGTTTATGCAAATGGCACTACCGACAAAAAAGATAGACAAGCCAAAGTAAAAAAAAACTTTTTTGAAATCTATTGCCATAATTAATAATTTTATAAAAGTATAAAAAACTAATAAAAAATAATATTTATAGTCGATTCACGTAAAATTTGCTCTTCTTTATCTTCACAAAATTTCGCAAGTACTATTCATGTGAGTATTCAAGATAAGCATCATGCGTTTGTTCGAATTGTATACAAGGAAAGGAACATACATTTTCGCAGATTAAAAAATAAATTTATATTATAGGTACATTCAACAGATTTATTATAATTGCGTTAGTATTTAGTAGCACTGCCTACCGGTAACAAACTGAATACTAATACATTTTTATCATATAATACCATACAGGTGATGAAGGTTATCCTCTTTTGTATCTAAATACTGATAATTTAATAACTAAGTAAAACTAGAGAAGCAACTATGATGGTTAATGATTATATGTATATATACAGTAGAACCTCTCTAATCCGTCACCTTCGGGACTGGGGCGGTGTGGTCGGAACGCGAAAAAGGTCGGATTATCAGAATATACAGAACATTTTTTTACTTACATATTACATACAAGATTATATCAGAAATTTATTATATTTTACATTTCTTAGAAAAAAATTCAGTTATAGATTTTTATTTAGCAAATGACATTCTAGACTTAGCTGCAATATTTCAAAATACGCACACCAATAGAAACGATACGAGAGAGGTCGGAGTACTAAAGAAGACAAGTGATAAGGGAAATATTAAACTATAGCAATTAATTTTATATAATATTTTCTATAAAGTAGAAAATCCAAATTGTATTTTTAAATTACATAGTATTCATATCGATAATACTATAGTCGGATCAACCGGAGCGGCGGACCAGTCGAGGGCGGATGAGAGGGGTTCTAGTGTAATTATTTTATAATTGATTGATGTATACAAATAATGGATTTAAGGGAATTGAAGGCACATAATAATGAGATTTTAAATTTCCGTCGGTGAAACGGTGGCAACAAGAAGAGTGGGTTCGTATTGAGCTAGGCGAAACCATTTTGGACCAAAAATGTACCCTTCCCTTTTCGGCCGATTCACTTTTCGATTAAATTTAAAATAGATCGATTCCTTTTTCGACCAAAATCGTATTCTTCCCTTTTCGGCCAAAACAAAATTTTATGTAATTAATGTAAAAAATAAAATAATTGGTAGTTATATAATTTTTTGTAAAATTAGGGAAATTGATAATTATATAAATTTGAAAATGATTAAAAGTACAAATTGCATAAAACGTTATAAAATAAAATGCGGAAATTATTTAAAATAAAAGAATGGCTATATATTAACATCATTTTTATGATAATATGTCACAAACCTACTTATATGATTTAAATTTTATTTTTTTTATAAAATTATACATATTACATACTATGACATAATATTAACATAAAAATAATGTTAATATATAGTTATTCTTATATCTTAAATAATTTTCTACACTTTATTTTACAAAATTTTATACATTTTACACTTTTAATCATTTTCAAAATCATATAATTATATAATAATTGCTCTAATTTTATGAAAATTATATAACAATTATTTTAGTTTTTTACATATATCATATTAAATTTTGTTTTGGTCGAAAAGGGAATCGACCTATTTTAAGTTTAGTTGAAAAGTGAATCAGCCGAAAAGAGAAGAGTACGTTTTTGGTTGAAAACGGCTATGTCCGTTGAGGTCCGTCATCAGAGACTGAAGTATAAATTTAATTCGAGGTTATAGATTGGGAATCAGTATTACACAATTTAGTTATATAATACCATTGATTATAAATAGTAGATATAAACAATAACTCACTGCAATACAAATAATTACGCTGCTCTTTAAATGGCAGGTGTCACCACGAGGCGCTCTGCGCAGTTATTAGTTTTGGCGGATGTCGCTATACTCACTAGAAGTTCATAGAAGTGGGGACTAATTAAACTGAGTTGTGACATTAATCGACATCGAAATTCAAAGTAGGAAACCGAGAAGGCGAGAATACACAACTAAGTACTAGACTTTGGATTTTTATCATTTGAGTCAGTGACTACCTGCTTAGTGTTTAATATATATATTAAAAATTGTCTATAATACGTTTATAGCTTATACCTATACTGATTATACTATTATGATATATAATTGACAAAAAGTTATGATTGTTATAAGCATGTTACATTATAAAATACAAATAAGCAATGTAATATTATGCTGATATATATATACAATAATATTTTATATATTAGCCATGTAATAGTAATCACATTAAAAATATTTAATTATTAAATATTTTAAATACTGCATAAATAGGTATTAACTATATTGAAAAATAAAGGGAATATGGATATACCAATTCATCTTACTATTAAATTGTGAGTAGTTTTCTCAATATTCTTCTCGATCTCCAAGACCATTCTCGTAGTTTATTTTTGAACGAATTAAAATATTTTGTTACTATTTTTAAGTTATCAAAATACAAATAGTGTTTGTTTTGGTATAACATTAATGATTAATACCGTTCACACTCAACAGCCACCGGCTAATGGTAGTATTTATATGTATATTTAATTCTATAACCGTGTACTGTCCTGTGTTTTTTATTTAATTGATATAAAATAAATTGTTTAAAAAATATATATATAAATATCAGAAGATAAATGTGTCTATTTTGGCTGTAATTTGACAAGAAGGTCATCGAAAAATATTTTACATCCATTTCCAGTCAATATTGAATTACACAAGCAATAGATAATTAGTTCAGGTAAGTATTTAAAATAAAAACAGTTACAAAATAATACTATTAAAATTAAAAACCACAAGTATTGTACCTATTATATAATTATATATTTATATAATCTAGAAAACATAGACTTAGAAGGGATGAGCCCAAAAAAATTGAGAAAAAAATGCGTTTGTTCGAATCATTTCCATTCTTCTATGTATACGGATTCGACATCGATAAAACACTACTGATGAAAATATATACAATTGATAAATACTAAATACATAGTTAAAACAATAAATTTAAATAATAAAATCAGTAATTGTGAACACATATTTGTATTTTACAGATGCGAATAGAAATGTTGATATTCTACTGAATACTATGCCGACTAAAAACAATAAGTCAATGGCAATATTTTCAGGTAAAAATATAAATAAAATACTAAATGTACTGACACCGAAACGTAAATATCACACAGGAATAATTCACACTTCAACTTCACAATTGATATTTAATGATGACCCAGAGTCAGAAATTACACCAAATACAAAATCCTATGTATCGGAACTTACTCACTTACCAAGTCCTACTAAAAAGCCTAAAATTATCATTGTTTAACAAGTCCAACAAAAATCATTATAAGAAATTTGATGCTTCAAGAAAAATTAAATAATATAATATAACAATTAAAACGAAAACGCACTATAATTCAGTGTTTAAAAAAACAAAATAAAAATATATTACTAAAAACATTGACATTCAACAATTTTTTAACCAGTCACAATTTACTCCCATTAATTCCAAAACTCTTATGACAATGCAAATTTTACATAAAAATCGCAAATCTTGGACTAAATCAATGATAATACATAAATATACATATAATTTATAATTTTACTGAAAAATCTTTGATCGTCGCCGTAAAAATTATATTGCCTCCTAACATATTATTCCAAGAGGGGTTATTTCCTCCTACGAACTGTCTCTTAAACACAGCCATGGATATTAACCAAAAAAGCAGTATCTAATATATTTATATATATATATATATATATTATGCTAAGCAAAAAGACAGCAACTGATCAGTGACCACAAAATAAGATAATTTTGTTTAGTATAGCTTAAATACTGTATTTTCGTTTAGTATTGACATTGATTATATTATAGTAAGCAGATTGCCAATCTAAACCAAAAAGTAGTGAACGACCAAGTGCCGTCGACCATCATAGAGCCCTGTAGTAGTCAGCTGTCAATAGGGGATTGAGTATATTTCCTTTGACCATTGTTTCGGTTTGCGGTAATCGGTTGGTAGGAACGGTAATTAACAATTTTATAGCCGTGCGGTCTTCATTAAATATTAAATAATTGACTAACTACAAAGTAAAAACTAATAATACTCATGATTCACGAGTCATGGTCATTGGCCAATATGTTTATTAACAAATTCCAATACAAAAATAATATTACCTATTTAATATCGATGGATTTATTTTTAATTTTACAGCTGAGTGTATCGTTTAATGTTCAATAAGCGATATTTCCGATTATGTATATTTTAAATGAGTTAAGATTTTAATTTGTATTTCGTTTTTTGTGCTTTGAACTTTGTAGTAGTTACTAGTTACTAGTTAGTTTAATATAGAGTGTCGACGTGTGAATGCATGATTGTGATATTTATCGGCACTATTCATCCATATATTTTTATTTCTTTTATAGTGTTTTAAATATTTTTTTAAAAGCGATAATTCCTAATGGTATTCAGAAAATTAAAAAATTTAAGTATATTTAGATTTCCTAAAGATAAAGATATATTAGAAATACGAAAAATAAATTCAGGAATACCTATATATTATAATTAAAAACTAAATCGATTTATTTATACACAGTCAACTCGCGGTATACGAAGCTCAATACAACATATAAAATTGTCGTCCTCTTGAAAATCTCGTGAAATAACAAAAAATTAAATGTATTTTTGTTCCTTCGATAGAACGAAGCTTTTTTGACCAAAGCTCTCGCAATGTAATGAATTTTACAAGTTTGTATTGGCTATTAATATCATGCTATAAGAATATAAGATACAATTCATGTCGTCGTTATATGTATGAGTTACAGTGTTACACGTCTGCTAAAGAATAATGACTATTACACATTTATTGCTATCGACGACGAGTAGATTGACTGTGGTTCTCATAATGATGATGAGATTTTAAACAAAGCTGATGATAAAGAAGAATATTTTGACGAGCCATCCGTATCCTCGAAAAAAGCAAAATCAGTTCTTCGCGATCTCTCTTAAAATATTTACAGATACATGATATTTAATAAAATCTAAATTTTGAATTTTCTTTTAAATCATGTTAAAACGAATTTTGTTGATTTATAGATTTCGTTGAATTTATAGAAAAACGTTTGATTGTCTTAGCACTAGAACTTTGTATAGTAATAATCCATAAAATAGTGCATTAACAGATAATAGTATAGTTAAAGATTTGTTATCAAAGGCTTCTGAATATTTTAAAAATCTAACTATAAATGGAGTGTTAAGTTTTTTCG